ACTAAGCATGCACACTACGTCTTTTTAGTGAACGTACCATATTGTACTTAGATTATTTCAGGGCAGGAACTGTAAGTTGTTGTTAGTTTTTTGTTTTCTTTCCTTCCCACGTCTTCTTGTGTAACCTTTAAACTATTTTTATGCCCTTGGCACAAAGAAAGTTTCCCATGTTGTTCCTTTCCTTTGGTTCCTTCAATTATTTATTGTTCTCACTTCCTTATCACTCATTTATTTCTTGGAAAAATTTTATTTTCCCATTTTTCTGCTTAATAATTCATGTTTAAAATAGATAAATAAGGAAGATATCAAATGAGCACTTGCATATATTTTATCTGTAATTTAAGGGAAAGGGTCATGAGAAGAGATTTGGAGGTAACTGCATAGAGATAATATATTTAAAGCTGTGGGTATCTATGACATCTCCAGACAGTACTGGCTACCATGCAGCTATCTCCCCCACGCAGTTTCCTAATTCTCCTTCGTTCAGCTACACAGGCAGCTGATCCAGCCAAGTCAACACCCTCATTTCCAGAGTAATATTTTTACTCCAGTGTCCCCAGGTCTGCGATCTCATCCTAATGCACTTGGTGCTCAAATGCATCCTAATACTAACACCGTTTACAGCATCTTCAAAAACTCTGAAGACTAGTAAGAGAATTAAACCAAGGGTACCACCCTGGAATCACTTGCTTTTAAATGGAGCCACCAGTGATCCTGAGGAAGCACCAGAAATTAAGAAGAATGTATTCATCATGAAGGCCTAGAGAAGACAGAATTTCAGGAAGGCTAGAGAGGTCAAGAATGTAAATGTCTCAGTGAGCCAGGATGACAGGGACTGTTTTTACACCTGTAGCCTCCCTTGGAGGGAGGGGCTGTTTCCCCAAATATCTCTAGCACCAAGTGTGTGGTCCGTGCTCAGAAGTTAATGCAGAAAGACGGGGGTGATTTACTGGAGAGGAGGAGGCACTTCCTTTGAAAGAATGGTCTTATCAGAAAACTGTGGTAGGTTATGTGGTGATAGACCTTGAGTGGTGGAAAGATTTTCAGTTAGTAGACTTGTGTCTTCTCCTTAGCTGAGAGAGTTTCTGGAGCTCACAGAACTCAACAATGGGATTGATATTCTAGCTAAATGGATCCACCATGGACTCAAGTACTACCTAGAGCTGTAAAATTAAACATATAACAAGGATATTTTTTAAACAGTTTACTCTTTCAACAGATATAAGTGACACGCAATAAATTAGTACTGCTCGTCTACTTAATTCTATCATTTTTTACCATATTTAGTGATGCTTAAGCAAGTTTGCTGATAACTAAGAGAATTGCTAATCATTGTTAGCATAGTTTGCTATTTCCATTAACCCCAAGGAATAGGTTTTAGGTATTATTGATGTGGTGTCATATTACACATGGATGGCACCATTATTTTCAATTAGTACTTGAATAAATACAGAGCGTATTCTGTAGATGCTGGTCTGTGTCTAAAGTTCCTATTGTGCCTGAAGGGCTTTGTTGCTATAAATAAGGATAGGAAAGAGGAAAAAAGAAAAGGGAAGAGAAAAGGAAAAAAAGTCTCCATGACAAGAAAACAAAATCTGTTATTTAACTTAGTTGTCCCATCTTGAACCTCCTCAGATTTTTCAGGTTGTTTAACGGTGGGCACTCTCTCCCGTATGTGCCCACGTGTATTTTGAAATTAAAAGATAACAGTGATGTACAGATGTACAGAACAGAATTTTGGACTCTGTGGGAGAAGGCGAGGGTGGGATGTTTTGAGAGAACAGCATCGAAACATGTATATTATCTAGGGTGAAACAGATCACCAGCCCAGGCTGGATGCATGAGACAAGTGCTTGGGCCTGGTGCACTGGGAAGACCCAGAGGGATCGGGTGGAGAGGGAGGTGGGAACGGGGATCGGGATGGGGAATATATGTAAATCAATGGCTGATTCATGTCAATGTATGACAAAAACCACTACAATATTGTAAAGTAATTAGCCTCCAACTAATAAAAATAAATGAAAAAAATAAATAAAAGATAACACTGAGTTATCATAGTCAAGATGTGGCAGGTGTCCTGGCATTTATTTTTAATTATAAAGAAACATTTCTCTTTAAGAGTTTTTGAATAATTTTATTTATTTTTGGCTGTGCTGAGTCTTCACTGATGTGAGGACTTCTCTCTAGTTGCAGAGAGTGGGGGCCACTCCCTGGTTTCGGTGTGTGGGTTCTCATTGCATTGCCTTCTCTTGCTGTGGAGCCTAGACTTCAGAGCACGTGGGCTTCAGGAGTTGTAGCACATGGGCTCCGTGGTTGCGGCTCCCAGGCACTAGATCGCCAGCTCCATCGTTGTGGCACACAGGCTTAGTTGTTCTACGGCATGTAGGATCTTCTCAGACCAGGGATCGAACCCGTGTCTCCTGCATTGGCAGGCCAATTCTTTACCACGGAGCCACCAGGGAAGCCCACTTGTGTAAGATTTTTTTTTAAACCTGTTAAAAAGACCCAGGAAGCATATGTGGTGCTTCTGAACAGGAATCCTGTAGTAGTGACCACCAAGAGCAGGTATTTCCAAGTCAGTGCTACTTACTGTGTTTTAGTGCTGACCCATAACTTCACAGATAACTAAAAAGACAGTCCTGCGGTGAACTCTATTCTAAGGGAAACGAAATGTGGCACGAATGAGTCTTTACCCTGGGGGGTTGGTGCACTGGCCTCTTAGAGAATGTCAGTTCTGGGAACGATAGATGATTTATTTGGATTTCTGTGAGTTTGTGAGAGACATTGAAAACATCTGATTTTCTTTCTTTTTTTTTTTTTTTTTAGAACATCTGATTTTCATAAGAATCTATTGAGAATTATCTTGTATGTCAGTATATTCTTTCTTTGAAAGCTGTTTCATTGAAATAAACAGCTTCTTTTTTCCCTAGTTACAAAATAGCTCATAAATTGTGGTTTGGGGTTGTCAAAAGATTTTTTTCTTTTTTCCTTTGAGAAGGGCTAGTGTTTACTTTGCATTTTGGTTCAGTTGCCCAGTTTCCTTCCATTTTATAAGGAGCACTTCTTAAACCTTGGCTGTGGCCACATGGTCTCTTTCAGACGCAAGCAACAGTTAGCACATTATTCCACTTGAAGGTTTACAGTTCAAGAGGATCCTGGACAGTTCCCAGATATACAGTCAAATTATAGCAATCTGACGGTAGAAGTATCTAGAGAGGTTGAAAGTCAGGTTTCATTGGGTAGTGGTGCAAAACCATTATCCCTTTCACAAAAGATGGTGAAGAGGAGCCAGAGGGAAAACAATTGGCGTTTCTGTGTGGGGCTGGTCTAAGCAGCCCGAGCGAGCCCAGCTGGAGCTCCTTTGGCCCTGTGTTCTGCAGGCGGCGTGCATTTTTGAAACACCCCTAAATGTTCCAGCCTTTAAATAGCAGCGAGTCTTCTAAAATGATGCTGCATAGCGCAGGAGAAATTAAAGCGGCTGCCTGGGAGGCAGGAAGCCGACTAGCGAGATGCTTAATTATCGTGGAAGTAAGTGCTTGCTGCTGGGGAGCAGAGCACAGCGAACCCGGGTCGGCCTGGGTGTCAGCCGTGATTTGTAGACAATGCGGCCCCGGCAGCGCAGTGCTGGATCAGCAGCATCTTTGCAAACATGCATTTGGCAGGAATTTAAAGGCCACCTCTTGTGTAATTTGTGGAGCCTTGGAAAAGGGTCCTCTGCTTTTATTTTCAGGATGTACGCAACCATGCAGGATTTTGTGCTCAGAATCTGTGCCTCTTGCCTCCTGATTGACGTGCTCCTGAGGAAGTTGGTTTACTTTGCCCGTCACCTGGAAGGATGTTAGCACTTCTCTGTCGTCGACTGGGGGATATGGAGAGGTCTGCCCACAGCAGCTTTTGGTTTCTGCTGTCTTCATAAATTAGCACCGAAGGGTGGGGTGGGTTGCAACGTGTAAGGAAATGCAGGCATTTTGCTAATTAGTGAAACGCTTGTAGCTTTAAGGGTAGATAGAAGGAAAGAGAGCTCGGGAAGAGGTGGTGGAAAATGCTGGATGCATTCTGAAATTCTGCTCTTTGGGGTAAGTAATAAACTGGAGGGAATTACAGAAGCATGCTAATGGGTAGAATGGCTTGGGGAAAACTGTGTTTATTTTCTCTCTATTGTATTTGCTCTTGCCAACTCTGTTAAGCCTTTGTAAAAAAACAGAAAACTAAGTTTGAATTTTGGAATACAAAAGAGGTTAAAAAGTAAGTGTTGCAACATATTCTGTAACATAATTTTTCAATTTTTAGTCTTGTTAAAAAGCTGTTTTTTGCTCTAATTATCGAACTCTGTTGGTTATGCTGTGAACTTCTGGTCAACACAGCGGTTCATGATAGTCTACATTGTTAGAGGTCACTGGAGTCTGTCTGTGGTCTGTACTTGGGCTAATGTCCTGGAACAAGATCCCTCACCGCCTTCTAATGTTATGAAATAGTTCAATTAAGCTGAAGTATTAATAGTCTTTTAAAATATATGTAATTTAAATGATGGATATTATTAAATGCTTTCAAATCTGCTTTACTAAAAATATGGGTTGTAAACTGTGAGCCACAATCCGTTACTGAATCTTTTATTTGCATGAATCTCGTTTTGGCAGTTGCATGCTTATTTTTAGATGTATTTATTAAATGCTAATCCAAATTGTCCTCCTCTCTTTTAGAGAAAGCATGGGATTATGGCAATCACAGAGTCCCAGTGATACAAGTTCCATTCAGTTCTTTCTGAAAGAAAGCCATCTATCAAAGTAAAGCAAAGGAACTCTTGTGGATTATAATGTTCTAAAGATCTGGATTTTCAGAGATTTGAAAATGAGTTATTCTAACCTTTTAAATGAAAAAGATTAAGATCTCGTGCAACTGCTGTATTTTCTGGAAGCCATTCTCCAAAAGGGAAGTGCACATTTAAAACTTAGGTATGATGGTCCTTTCTGTGGGGATTTAAGTCAAATTGCTTTTGCATCATGACCAGCCTGAAACGGTCACAGACAGAGAGGCCGGTTGCCACTGAGAGGGCGTCCATTGTGGGCGCAGATGGCACCCCCAAAGTCCACACAGACGACTTCTACATGCGACGTTTCAGGTCCCAAAACGGCAGCTTAGGGTCATCTGTCATGGCTCCTGTAGGGCCCCCCCGAAGTGAAGGTTCTCACCATATAACTTCGACCCCTGGAGTCCCAAAGATGGGGGTTCGGGCAAGGATTGCGGATTGGCCCCCCAGAAAGGAAAACGTAAAAGAATCTAGCCGTTCAAGCCAGGAAATAGAAACCTCAAGTTGCCTTGAGAGCCTGTCCTCCAAAAGCAGTCCTGTGAGTCAGGGAAGTTCTGTAAGCCTCAATTCCAGTGACTCAGCCATGTTAAAAAGCATACAGAACACGCTGAAGAGCAAGACGCGGCCGGCGGAGAGCATGGACTCCAGGTTTCTCATGCCCGAAGCCTACCCCAGCTCCCCCAGGAAGGCGCTGCGCCGCATCCGGCAGCGCAGCAACAGCGACATCACCATAAGTGAACTTGATGTGGATAGCTTCGATGAATGTATCTCGCCCACCTACAAGACGGGCCCATCGCTGCACAGGGAATACGGTAGCACATCCTCAATCGATAAGCAGGGAACGTCCGGAGAAAGCTTCTTTGACTTGTTAAAGGGCTACAAAGAGGACAAGTCTGATCGAGGTCCCACTCCGACGAAGCTCAGTGACTTTCTCATCGCCGGTGGGGGCAAGGGTTCTGGTTTCTCCTTGGATGTGATAGACGGGCCCATCTCACAGAGAGAGAACCTCAGGCTCTTTAAGGAAAGGGAAAAACCACTCAAGCGGCGCTCCAAGTCGGAAACCGGAGACTCCTCCATTTTTCGTAAATTACGCAATGCCAAAGGTGAGGAACTTGGGAAGTCGTCGGATCTTGAAGATAACCGATCAGAAGACTCTGTCAGGCCCTGGACATGCCCGAAGTGCTTTGCCCACTATGATGTCCAGAGTATCTTATTTGACTTGAACGAGGCGATTATGAACAGGCACAATGTAATTAAGAGGAGAAACACCACCACAGGGGCCTCCGCAGCTGCAGTGGCATCCTTGGTCTCAGGGCCTTTGTCGCACTCCGCCAGCTTCAGCTCCCCAATGGGCAGCACGGAGGACCTGAATTCCAAAGGAAGCCTCAGCATGGACCAGGGAGATGATAAAAGCAATGAACTGGTGATGAGCTGTCCGTATTTTCGGAATGAGATTGGCGGAGAAGGGGAAAGGAAGATCAGCCTGTCCAAATCAAATTCCGGTTCGTTTAGTGGATGTGAAAGTGCCTCCTTTGAGTCTACACTCAGCTCCCATTGTACAAACGCAGGCGTGGCAGTACTCGAAGTGCCCAAGGAGAACTTGGTGTTACACCTGGATCGGGTGAAAAGATACATCGTGGAACACGTGGATCTCGGCGCCTACTATTACAGGAAATTCTTCTATCAGAAGGGTGAGTAGAGATCTTTAATTTTCTTTTGCCATACTTTCTGAAAAGGAGTACTATCTATCAGGTTTTGTAAGGCAGTGTGATGGAAGATTTGCATGAATGCCTTCTCTTGATGGTGAAAGAGTTAGCTGTTTGCTGCAGTGTATTTCCGTTTGCATTTTGTGAGTTACTTTCTCCTTTTAGATACATTAAATATCTTGTATACAGTATATTAATTTTATTAAGTAAAAAACCTTTGATCCAGTGGATGGATGAAATTATAATCTTTACGTAGAAGACTTGCTATGTCACCTTTAGGGATAAATATCATATAAAGTTAAAAATATTCTAAATACAGCTTTTAAAGGGTTTCAAAAGCAATCTTAGTGCAGGTTTTTTATTTGTTTAGTACTTTTACAATTGGTGCAGGGCCATTTCTTTTCTCTATCAATGTTCTCATCACTCAATGACAATTATAATACATTCCCATTCATTTCACAGGCATTTTAGTGAGAACTTTGTTATTTGACAAAAATCTCAGAGTTGGGAATCAAACCTTGGTCTTCTAGATTTGAGTATAAAAGGCACTGGAATGAGAAGTACCATTAGCATGTTGATGACTTCTTTTTCTGCTTTGGGAGAAAATATATATCTATATTGTTGAGTTGTGCTGTATACATAGTTTTATCTCATGCTTTTAAGAAAACTCTGTGAGTTCACTGACAGGTAGTTTAAATGAACTCTTAGGAGCTTTCTAATAGTGTTTTTGAGCAGCATTATTAATTGAAGAATGAGTGGGTCGTGCAAGTACCTGAGCTAGGAGACAAGATACTCACCTCACCGAGGAAGAATGTACACCCATGGTCCTCTAGCTAGCTCAGTAATCTCTGCATTGAGACCAAGTGAGAGGCCCCCTGTATACAAGCTATGACAGTGGTCTTTCAATTTCCCACCTACTGTTTGGGGGTTTTGAGTCCTTTTGAGATTTATTCCTCCAAGTGAATTTTCATTTCTAGTACTTCATTCTAGTGCGCTAGCTGTATGACATTGCTTACTTTAAAATAAAATTTATTGTAAGGTTATTGCATGATTGGCTATATTCACAAGGGTTTGTTGACCAAAGGAGCCTTGTCTCAGTGCTCAGCATCCACGTCTCTTAAACATCTATGGCAAAGGTCCTGAAACTAGTATAACGAAAATCCCGACTTCCTTGGTAAGCCATCTTTATTTTCTCAGAAAACTTCCTGGAGTTCAGATTTTAGAAATCACTTCTTTCTTATTCTGTCCTTAAGGGTACAGAGTATTTTGACCTTGCCATCTTGGTATTTGGGGTCAGATAATTCTTTGTTTGTTATATCCTACAGTCTTACACATTCTGGGATATAAGATGTTTAGCAGTGTCCCTGGCCTCTATATCCCAGATGCCGATAGGTACCCTGACTTGTGATGACCTAAAATGTCACCATTTGGATATTGCCGAATGTCCTCTAGGAAATTGCCCCTTGCTGAAAATCCCTGTTTTACTGAGCCTGGAGAAGTTTTCCACAGGTGTTTGTGAGCTGTCTGTAGAGGAGGCCACCTTCCTAAAGAACTGACATTCCAACACAGGCGAGAACATGTTACTTATAATCTTACATATGTATTAATAGTAGTTGGCTCTTTTGCCTAGTTCAGTTCAGTTCAGTCGCTCAGTCATGTCTGACTCTTTGCGACCCCATGAATGCCAGGCCTCCCTGTCCATCACCAACTGCCAGAGCCTACGCAAACCCATGTCCATTGAGTCGGTGATGCCATCCAACCATCTCATCCTCTGTCGTCCCCTTCTCCTGCCCCCAATCCCTCCCAGTATCACGGTCTTTTCCAATGAGTCAGCTCTTCACATCAGGTGCCCAAAGTACTGGAGTTTCAGCTTCAACATCAGTCCTTCCAATGAACACCCAGGACTGATCTCCTTTAGGATGGACTGGTTGGATTTCCTTGCAGTCCAAGGGACTCTCAAGAGTCTTCTCCAACACCACAGTTTAGAAGCATCAATTCTTCTGTGCTCAGCTTTCTTTATAATCCAGCTCTCACATCCATACATGACTACTGGAAAAACCATAGCCTTGACTAGACAGACCTTTGTTGGCAGAGTAATGTCTCTGCTTTTTAATATGCCATCTAGGTTGGTCGTAACTTTCCTTCCAAGGAGTAAGTGTCTTTTAATTTCATGACTGCAGTCACCATCTGCAGTGATTTTGGAGCCCAAAAAGCAAAGTCTGCCACTGTTTCCACTGTTTGCCCGTCTATTTGCCATGAAGTGATGGGACTGGATGCCATGATCTTAGTTTTCTGAATGTTGAGCTTTAAGCCAACTTTTTCACTCTCCTCTTTCACTTTCATCAAGAGGCTCTTTAGTTGTTCTTCACTTTCTGCCATAGGGTGGTGTCATCTGCATTTCTGAGGTTATTGATATTTCTCCCCGAAATCTTGATTATTCCAGCTTGTGCTTCCTCCAGCCCAGCACTTCTCATGATGTACTCTGCATATAAGTTAAATAAGCAAGGTGACAATATACAGCCTTGATGTACTCCTTTTCCTATTTGGAACCAGTCTGTTGTTCCATGTCCAGTTCTAACTGTTGCTTCCTGACCTGCATACAGGCTTCTCAAGAGGCAGGTCAGGTAGTCTGGTATTCCCATCTCCTTCAGAATTTTCCACAGTTTATTGTGATCCACACAGTCAAAGGCTTTGGCATAGTCAATAAAGCAGAAATAGATGTTTTTCTGGAACTCTCTTGCTTTTTCGATGATCCAGAGGATGTTGGCAATTTGATCTCTGGTTCCTCTGCCTTTTCTACAACCAGCTTGAACATCTGGAAGTTCACGGTTCACGTATTGCTGAAGCCTGGCTTGGAGAATTTTGAGCATTACTTTACTATCGTGTGAGATGAGTGCAATTGTGCGGTAGTTTAAGCATTCTTTGGCATTGCCTTTCTTAGGGATTGGACTGAAAACTGACCTTTTCCAGTCCTGTGGCCACTGCTGAGTTTTCCAAATTTGCTGACATATTGAGTGCAGCACTTTCACAGCATCATCTTTCAGGATTTGAAATAGCTCAACTGAAATTCCTTCACCTCCACTAGCTTTGTTTGTAGTAATGCTTCCTAAGGCCCAGTTGACTTGACATTCCAGGTTGTCTGGCTCTAGGTAATATACTCACATTAATGAACATTCTGAGCACTTACTGTGAACTAGAAACTGACTGTGTGGTTTGATGTGCATTTTCTCATTTCAGTGTCTTCATGCCCCCTGTGGTGTAGATAGAATTATTGAAGGCATTTTCCAGATGAGAAAACTGCGGTTTGTGTGACTGGTTTCAGTGGTTAAGCTGCCATTGAAGTTAATAGTATTAACTTCAGTTAATTTAAGTATTTCACCTTTGGGGTGTCCAACCAGAATCATGTTCTTGACTGCTTTGCTCTGCTCTGTACTATATTAGACTAGAGGAAGGAGAGTGTTTTTATCTTTAAATCTGGTAGAATTTTGTTCAAAGTATTTTGTCTTTCAAAAGTAAGGAATAAAAATTTGACCATCTGTATTCCATGGTAATCCAGTTTAGGTCATAACACTTCATAAATTTAAGAGCAACTAATTCAAAGAAATTTCTTATTTAAACCCTCTTTCTATCTATAGACAGACCATACCCTCTTAGCTAACATAATTAGAACTGTTTAATTAAAAAAATCATTGACAGGGAATCTTGCAGAAGTATACATACTCAAAATATCTTACTTTCACTAAACTATATAATAATAATAACTATATATTTGCTAAATTTTGGTGAGGCCAAGGGTGCTTCTTTGACAGTGATTCTGCTATTTTGAATTCTACCTTGTATTAACAGTATAAACATAGACAGTAGCAAAACACTCTGAATCTTACAGAATCTTAGATTTAAAATTTTTTCCTCCTTTTTTATAGGTTTTGCCCACATCTAGTCCAGTAGCTTTCCTTTTAATGAGTTGCTTTTATGAAATGTTCCCAAAGCCTTCAATTTAGTTTTTAATAAGAAACAAGATTTATCTCTTGTGCTTATATTCCATCAACTTTCATAATATTTAATTAAATTTCATAATTACAATAACAAGTCAGCTGGCATAAACTGGTTTGGGAAGACACAGCTTGGCTATTGAAGTCAGCATGGAGTCCAGCTGGTGGGAGCAGAAAGTGTGTGTGGCTCCAGAGATTGCCTGCCAGCGCCATTGGGCATTTATCATCGAGGTTTACCGAGGAAACATAGAGCAAGAGTTAATACATGAAACTGGTACAGGAGGACAGTGTCAGAGAGCACCTGCCGTGTTTTCTTGGGCCATACAAATTTTCAAATCAGGTACATCATTTGTTACAAAGAAGATACAACAGATTGTGGATCTGAATAACTCGAAGCCGAAATTAGCCATCTTAAACTCTGTGTATTATAAACTTTATGTAGTATCTGTACTTTTCTTAAAATTTATTTTGTTGAAGTATAGTTGATTTGCAGTGTCTTAATTCTGCTGTGCAGAAAAGTGAATTGTTTATACACATATGCATTTTTTTTTCATATTCTTTTCCATTTGCTTTATCACAGGATGTTGAATATACCCTGTGCTATACAGTAGGAACCTGTGGTTTATCCACTCAGTATATAATAGATTGCATCTGCTAATCCCAGACTTTTACTGCATCCCTTCCCCATCCCCTTTCCCTGGGCAACTACATGTCTGTTCTCTATGTCTGTACGTCTGTTTCTATTTCTTAGATAAGTTCGTTTGTATCATATTTTAGATCCCACATATAAGTGATAGCTGTACTTTTCATCACAGTGTAAAATATAGCTAGACAAATAATTCTGTCATGATTTTTAATTCATAGCTTGATTCACTGAAATTAGTACACTAGCTCATTTTTCCTAATCAGAACCTGGAAGAGGTTCTGTTCTTGTTGAAGGAGTACATCCATGACAGGTGTAATTTCTCTTCCGGCAACAGGGTGTAGCTCTTC